TCTTCTTCCCTCCAGTTTTTTGTAAGTAAGGATGGTGTTGGAATATCCCTTTGGACCATTGGGGTCAGCTGTCCCAGCTTCTTGTGCACCCCCAGCTTATTGACTGGTGGGGCAATGTGAGAAACAGACAAAAAAAAAGAAGAAACAACTAATATCATATAGGTCAATTAGGGACTCAGAATTTCCTGGAGGGTGAATTCCAGGAATCAGAGGTTCCCTGGATGCGTAAGAGGTTGTTCAGCTTAATATTTTATGTAACATCAAAACCAATTTCATGGTGAAGAAAGAAAGAGAGACAACTTCCTAGATGAGATTTAAAGGTTTCAGGATCTCCAGGATGGAAGGACTTATTAGGATAAACACAGGCTTGGAAAATGTAAAATAATAGAAAAATATTAAAAAATAACAGGAGATGAAAAGTTATTGACAAAAGCTTTAGCCTATCAATTACTGAGTCAGAATAGACCCTATGCCAAGTTAAAGGTCTATCCATACCAACGGCAACAAATACTCTCAAAGAGAGGGAGTTAAGGTTGTGTGTGTACTCTTAACTTGACCAGCACTTCTGCCTTTTAAGTTAGCAGCCTCTGAAACATTACAATAGTATTATATGGAGGATCTGATAAAACATAAGAGAAGTTTTAAAACCTGTCATATGGACCCAAAATAAATGAAGTAATTTTTTTTAATCAGTGTTTTTTTAATTGTAATATACTCATTTTTGTATTGTCCTGAAGCATATGCAGTATGGTCAAAGCATTCACTGCCTGTAATAAATTGGAAGATAATTTCAGATCCTTGAAACAGTCTGGAACAATACAAAGACAAGAAGTTAAAGGCATATTATTCAACTTATGTGTTCTGTCATATTTAGTCACCGTCTGGGATACTTTCCTCTGCTTTACATCAGTCTTAATTAGATTTCTCTAGTCCATCTTGTCTTCTCTGTTTCCCTCCTTGCTTTTGTGTCCTGTCACAGAGCTGAATTTCTATGTTACCAGTTCATCTCTTTTCCATACCTCAGGATGGTACATGTGTCCAGAAACACAGGCCAAAACCAACAGATTTATCACAGCCTTAATGACAGCTGGCTGCATGCTGAGTGAATTCTTAAATTCCCCAAAACTACTTTTTTGCCAAAACATGTGGAGTTGCAGCATTCAACATTTTCTTGGGACGGTTATCTCCAAATGAAGAATGACTCCACTGGAAAAAATTTGGTATCAGCTATAGACCTATTTTTAACTTCTTGTTTGGTGAAACTTCAGGAAACATAATTAGCCATATGTTGAGAGATGTTCTCCAAGTCCTAAATTCAATTTTTGCAAACCACATTTAAGCACTACCTTGTCCACAGCTTTATACTGTTGGAATCAGAAGACATGGGTTTTTTTTTATGAGAATGTGATTCTTCATATTTCTTTGGGTAAATATTTGTGTTTATGAAGATTGTAGAACTGGCAGTACTAAAGACTGAAATCTTCCATTTGTTTATATGGGAAGATTTGTGCAGGCAACAGTACTGGAATCATCCCCTACTTCTGACACTTACGAACTTCAAGCCTTGCATTGGTGTTCTCAGAGGCAGAAAAGTAGAGCAGTTCAGAAACATTCATTCTCCCCCACAAGTATTTATCCTGAAAACAAAACAAGATTACTTAATCAAAAACATGCACAGAAAATCTTAAGGTTATGTCAAAAATAAGAGTTTCTACGTGAAAACCAATTTTTTTCCAAATTAAATCTAAATAAACTGTCAGATTTCAAATTGGATTAAAACAAATTGAAAGATTAAATCATATCTGGCTAAATCTTGGTATAGAATTATAGTCAGGTGCCTCATGATACCACCATGTCCCCTGAATCAGAATTCCTATTTGGGCTACTTTTCCCATTACAGTTAACAGCTTCTCCTCAGGAAGTTTTCTGCAAAATGAAGTTCAGTTTTTGCTGCCTTGAAAAGGCAGTTTGGACCAAGTGAATTGGAAAAATGTCACCTTTCTGTTTCTGTTTAAAGAATAAAAACTCTTGCTAGAAGAGTGCTGACACTGGATTTTTGATTTTCTGGCCAAAGGAGAAGTTTTCTTTGGTTCCTCTCTGACTACAGGTGGTCTGGTTCCAGCTTCTCATTCTTTCACAAAGCTGCCATATTGAAGAAGGACAAGGTTTCTTGCGACATCATGGTCCATGTTATGGGTGAAGCAGAAGCGTATAAAGGCTAGAATGAAAGGGGAGAGGAGCATTTGGGGCAGTTTCACGCTGCTGACTGCTCTGACAAAGCTTGCAATACAAGTAGAACTTCTGCAGCCTCCGTGGTTTCTATCCCAACTGTGTTGAGAGTGTATTCTACATGATTAAAGGTCAAGCCTCTTGGCTATAATCGTTTAAAAACAGTCCCCATGTTCTTGTGTTTCCACATATTTGTTCTGATGGCAAGCTGTTATCTATCTGTTCGATCTTACTTTCATTGACTTGTTTGCCTTGCTTTTTTCAGTTGACCTCATTGCCACTTGTAATGCAAAACATTTAGATTGCTGATGATCTGTTTCTAGCAAGGTTAAAGAAGGAGAAATAACACCATATATTGACAGGATTGAGAACTCCATGTCACCCTTATTTTCAGTTGGCTCCTGATGAACAGCATATTCTCACTACTAGAACCACTTTTATCAAATGACAGTGGCAGCTCACAGTGCATAAGAAAGAGAGTTTCTAAGCTCTTCCATGAAGATAAATGTATAGATAGTTTTCTGAGGCACCTCAGTTAATGGTAATCTACTGAGATGAATCTCAAGATTACTACAAATTGTTTCATGACTGTCTCATGGCTCAGTATTGAGTGAGTGACATCACACTGTGTGATGCAGTGCAATAGAATACAAGGATCTAAATATCCAGAATAGCAAAAAGCAATTTGAGGGAAAAAATAGCACATTTAATCACATTTTACTGAATATTTACATCAACTTAGTTCCTTGATAAAGCTTTCAAAGCACAAATATGGTGAGCATTGATCATTTAACAGGGCTTTTATTGGTAAAAATTATTAATGGGGGGTTGAGATGGAGGATTTATTTGTTTGTTCTAGCAGGGGTAGATGAGGTTAGTTATGTCAAATCTGTTTCTCAGTAGCTGAAGGCTTTTCTTAATTTTACAGCTAACTTTAAGTACAGAAGAATTCATTGGTTTAAGTAAAAATAACTAAAAAGAATAAAACTTCCTCTGCAGAAAAATACAGTATCTATGCAGTATCTACTTTATAGTCAGGGAATAGGTAGGGTGCTTTGGTTTGTTTGTTTCTCTATAAATATTCAAAACAACAAAACTTTACTGTTATACTGTAATGTATTGCATACAATATAATTTCTACAATGCTACTAAATACTTTACAATTGTTTTCATAATTCCAAAAAAAGTTAAATTTGTCATGGTTCTTTTGTGCTCACAGAGCAGTCTAATTCTCATGACCTGTGAATTCCAAATCGTTTTTAACATTCTCTGGTTAAGCATTTGACAACTTTTAATGAGTTAATTTGCTCTGATTAGCTTACTCTGTAGGTCTTCACTTGTAAGCAAAACGATACTTTTAATTCAGAATGCATGCTAATATGATGTAGATAATCAGAGGTCTGGGGAAAAAAAAAAGTGAATCCAGTGGATTTTTTTCTTTCCTGGTATCCAGATGTACAACTTAGTAAAGATTATGAACAAGTCTCTACTTAGAAATGGTTTTAATTTGAAAACTTGAAAGGCATAATTCCATCCTCCCTCAGAACACATACACTGCTGAAATTGCACATTTAGCATTATGTTTTTCCTTTATTGGTTCCATTAAGCATCTATGAATAATGGCTTCCCATGTCATAATTTAATTATGGTTTGAAATAATTGGTAAACTGAAACAGTGTCATAGGGAGGAAATTGATAAAAGAAGGGTAAAGGTGAATTATATGAGGCATGGGACCCTAACTAGAAATAATGAGATAATGAAATTTTAGGTATTTTTCAGTTGAAAATCAACAACCTCTACACTGTGACTTACGTTGAGTAATTGTCATAGTTTAGGAATTGTACTCCCCAATTCACTGCCCCCACCAAGACTGTCTAAACCACACACCGCTCTCTCTCTCACTCCCCTGCTCTCCCCCCTTCCCCACTGCAGTGGGTGGAGAGCAGAATTGGAGGCATAAAAGGCAAAGACCACAGGTTGAGATAAGGACAATTTTCTGGAAACAGCAACGAGATAAGAAACTGAACACTAACAGCAACAGCACTGATGACAGAGCGTACAAGAAAGGAAAGGATTCGTATTAACAGGCAATACTGGATGTCTCCCTCTACCACGTTTTCTCAACTGGAAGGAACTCCTTCTCCCTGGAATAGAGTCCTTTTCCCACTATCCCCAGCAATGACATGAGGTGGTATAGAATAGCCTCTGTGTTCTGGCCATGCCCCTTCCTAGCTACTGCAAAAATTAACCCTGTCCTCTCTGGAACCGGGACACTACTAGAACTTGCAGAAGGTCTAGCACATGGGATATTTAAAACTGGGCTGGACAAACAGGAAAAATGGACTGTAGGGAATCAGTTTTTCACTGGCAAAGATGTGGACTAGTGACCCAATATCTCCTTTCCACTGTGAGTGCCTATAAGTCTGAAAAAATACTTGGAATTCTGTATATCTTTTAGTTTCACTCATGTTTCTTTTGTATCTAGCAAAAACAGATCACTATCCTATGAAAGTGCTTGATAGTAAAGACCTTCATTTTCAGTTTTTCTTACTGGACAAAATTAAATGTTAGGATGTGTAGAGTCACATCATGCCTACTTGTTTACTTGCAGAAGAGAGAAGGACAGAACTCAGAAAACTTCCTGTCCCATGGATCACAAAAAAACCTCCTAAAATTGGCCATCAGCACAGGGAATTTCAAATGGTGGGAAATAATGACTTCATTGATTTTTGACATTTTAAATTCTATCTGCATTTTGTATGTTTTACAGACCGTCTGAAAGGAGAGATAACCCAGAGGCACATTCAGAGAGCAGCTCTAGGTAAGAGCATAACATTTCAGGTACACATAGGATGAATCTGCCTGTGAGGCAGGTTGTATTTTCTTTGAAGCTTTTGCCACAGTATTTCTGCAATATCCATGCCATAAAGAACACAGACTTTGTGAACTTTGCCTGAAATTTCACTCTAAAGGCATCTTATTTTATATGTGATGAGAAAAATAATACAAAATTCTTATAGGTTTTGGAGTTTGGTTTCTGATGAGTCTAATTTGGATTCCTATTAACAGACATTGGTATGTCCTGAGACTGAGCTAGTAGCCATGTTGCCACAATCTGTCTAGCATCCTTTTTAATTTTTTTTTAATTTTTCTCATTCTGAGAGGGGCTGAAGGCATATACAGGTCATTTCTCTCGCATCTAGTCATAGAAGTTGAGAAGTTATTTCTTGCAGTTTCTGTTGACACAGCTGTGAAGCTAAAAGTGTCTGTGTAAGTTGTTCACATAAGTGTAAAGTCATCCAAATTTGTTTTAAGATGGTTAAAGCTGACTCCACTGACTTTGTAGTGAAACAGCCTAGAAGTGTTCACATGAGAATTCCACTTTTGGGACAATAAACTTCAGCTAAAATTTGACAGAAAACTGCTGTCGCAATAACAGTTTAGATCCCCCTTCATTGAAATACATAAAAGAATCCCAAAATGTGCCTTTGTAGACCTTCTTCACATAAAAGATGGAGCTAACTCAGACCAGATTGCTCTTGATGCATTTATTTCTGTGTATACATAATGCAGAGAACATTATTTGTCTCTTAGTAAGAGGGAGAAGATTTAGGGACTTTCTTAATCCCAAAAGTCAGGCAAGTAAGTTACTGCAGAAAGAAAGGTAATTTCTCTTTCTAATTTACCCACGCATCTCAAGCTTTGTTGATGATGTTATTATTTTATATCTCTATCTGTTTTTATTTTGATAATCACACTGAAAATTAATGTTATTCATGTCAATAAAGCCCAGGAGTTAAACTCAATCTATTTTGATCAGTATGAGAAGGGGAAATTAAGAAGTTGCTGATCTTCTCCCTAGTATCCAGTGACAGAACACATGGGAATGGTTCAAAGCTGCATCAGGGGAAGTTCAGACTTGATATTAGGAAAAATTTCTTTACCAAGAACAGGCTTCCTAGATAGGTGATCAATGTCACATACCTGACAGTGTTTAAAAAGCATTTGAACAATGTCCTTGTTGTAAGAGTAATATGCTTTAACTGGTGGTCATAGGAGTAGATGATTGTTATGGTTCCTGTCCAGCCACTTCTCTCTCCCCTCCCCTCCCCTCCCCTTCCCTTCCCTCCCCTCCCTACTCCTCCTTGCCTCTCCCCAATCTGAAGGTGGTATCTTCAGTAGAACATGGATTTTTTTTTTCTCTTTCATTCACTCCAGGTTTTAATACTGTCTGTTTACTAATTTTTTGCAACTTTAAAAAGTTATATCAAGATGAATCATAGCAATGCTGTTTATGGAAATCCCTTATACAGTGTTTTGAAAGATTAAGTGATATATTCTGAATGCATGTTTCAGTTTGAATGATAATATCTGGGTTTGTATATATTTTTTTTTACTATATAGAAAATTGTGTTTCAAATATTGTTTTCAATAACTAAACTGCTTTTCATAACATAGGTAAGCAAAATTTTTTCATGTCCTTGGGAAATGCCATAGTAGTGACTTTACCAGCTATACATTTACATTGTAAATATTCTGTTAGTATTCTAAAATGTAGCAGACAACCCATGCATTTTTGCCTTTTGTTTTAAGCACTGCTGTCTGCCTATCATCACAAAGTCTGGACCACAGAAATTATTTTCCAGTATTTTCATTATTCTTTTAAATACTCTGGATATTTAGACTTAATATTTATTCTATGAGTTGGGGAGTACTGTTTGCCTGCCTGCCTTTTTGAATGATTCTTCCAAGAAGTAACAGGTGTCAAGTCTCCTGGGAATTTCTCAATGACCAGAATGTCATCAAGATATTTTTACTGAAAACTGCATGGTAAAAGTTCTAATTAAAAGTCTGTTGAAATCCCGACATGAAATAAAACACGCCACTGTTTCAATTAGAAACCAAGTTAATATCTTCCAGCTGCCTTTTTTTTTTTTTTCCATAGAGAATTTTATGGTTAAAACTCTTGAAGAAGCTACTCTAGTTGAATTTGAAACAGTGTAGTTTTGTCTCCCTCATGGCTGTGCTTAAGATGTGGATTTATTATTGAAGGAAAACTCCACTACTTAGCCCATTGCTCTTAGCTATCTCTTTTAAAACATCATATGCTGGAAGTTCACAAAGGACACAAATAGATAGGAGGTTTCATCAGAGTCAAGAGACTGCTCTGTGTTTGTCAGTACATAACCAGAAACATTGAATATTTTATGCAAAATTGCAAGGATTCACTCTCAGTGTGACTTTCATCTTTATTAATTTTAAAAATATTTTATTATGCAAATAACTTCTTTTAGTTATCTTCAGTGAGATCTTTCAGAATAAAAAAGCATTTTTAGGCAGGATTTAAAATTCCTTTTGCATGCCTAACTGCATTTTTAGGCAGGATTTAAAATAAAATAATGTACACAATGCTAAAGTATTCACAGAGTGAAAACACTGGGTCATCAGAATGTTTCTGGGTGGAAAAGATAGGAGGAAAGAGAGGCTTTTCCTGGAGTTTGCAGTGTTGTAGAAGAAAAGTAGGGGTTTTATTTGATTCTAGTGAAATATTAAGATACTCTAAACTAGCATTTCTGTAAAATACAGGACCTGATTCTCCATTTTCTTTTTCCAGTTTTGCATAGATAGAGCATGATTGCAAGCAGGCCAGTGTAACGTTATTTGCCAGCACTGGGGGAAGACTGAAGCCTAAATTGTCCCTGCCTGATGACATAGGAGATCCTATGATGTATTGTAATGGGAGGATGCTTCTATGGGGACGTAGTCATGTTAGCAAAGGTGTGTTTTGTACAATTACTTTCCATAACAGAAGTAACTGTGCCATGACTTGCCCAGTTTTGCCCATTCAACTACATCTTGAGTAGAGGCCTCTGTTGGGTCAACTTTGGAAGTTAGGAAGGATCCTTGAACATACTCCTGACTGATCTGTCCATATCAGCAGAAATGTTTAGTAAATCTACAAGTCTCCCAGGCTGTTCAGGCAGCTTCAAGCAGACTGGGACAAAGCTTCATGCTCAGAAGGATCACCCATTATGTGCAGCCTAAAACATGTTTCCTAGGTTAACATAAATGGTAATCTGCAGCCAGTGGTGCAGCATCTTCAGCACAGCACGCCCCTCGTTACTGATAATTACAGGTAGTTAATCAGTTTAGTTGAAATGCAGTTTTGCAGTTTTCCATTTCAAATACTTTCCTTTTCATCACGTTCTCCATGAGACTCCCTTCTCTTTTTGTGTAAGTTTTGAAATCTGGGCTGTAGCAATTCTTGCTAGTAGCAATCCATTCTTTTGGAATTCTCCTGAAAACATCAAGAGATGGCAAAATCCTTCTACTTCTGGGGAGGTTTGTTCTAGATTACAATCCAACTCCACTTTCTCTGTAGAGCTATTTGAAATGAAAAAAAAAGTAGGACAAATGTGGGTCTGTGTAAGTAATCTGCATCCTTTGTACAGATTTCAGCATTCAGGTGCAGTTTTATCAATATTTTATTAAAAACAAAAAAAACAAACAAAACCTCCGCTTGTTTTTCCAGGTTTTATAACTTGAGTTTTAGGAATAAGATTCTGTATTTCCGCTGTTATTCAAAGAGTTCTTCCAAAGTTCTTTTTTAAGCAAAATTCTTTTGAAAAAGCCCGTTCCTCATTTAAAAAAAAAAAAAAAATTACTAGGTGAGTCAGAAATAACAGATATATTTGAATCCCTGAAAACGCATACCAGCATTTGATTTAGTGTGGCAAATGCCTGATAGCCAGGCTTTTGGCATGTTATTTTTGTATTTGGATTTGTAACACATATTTGTTTTAAGGCAAAAATAGAAAAATTTCTTCTTATCTTTATACCCTCTACAGCCTTGTCTATATCATCTTCTCCTACATTTTCAAAGCTAGATAACTGTTCTAAAGGTATTAGTATCAGTTTGTGTCCTTTTTCTTGCTGTGGTGGATGTTTCTTTATAGCATGTTTCATTCTGCTTACTCACCTTTTCTTGATTAGAAGTGAAAGAACATGATCAATACCAGAATAAAGCAGGGACAGACAGTGCTGTATAATTAATGTATCAGAGTACTCCTGCAGGAGTATTCTAGCCAGAGTTAGGAAAGAATTTCAAGAAACCATTCCACCAATATTTGTGGTGCTGCCACTACCATATATCCCATCTATACCCGATGGAAAGAAAATATGTTGTTCAACGCATTTCTGCATATCTGAAGAGTTAGAATGGGGAACTGTTGCTCCCAATTGTCCAGGGTGTTAGATCACAGAATCACAGAATTATTTGGGTTAGAAGGGATGTTTAAATATCATTCAGACCAACCTTCCAACCATGGGCAGAGACATCTTTCACTTTCACTAAATCAGGTTGCTTGGAGCTCCAGCCAATCTGACCTTGAACCTTCCAATGTGGCCCATGCTGCTAGAAAAGCTGATCCACCGGGATTTGTATCTGGTATATAAGTGTATGATAGTTCTCTGCAACCATTGCAGCATCTTACAGACCTATATAACATTAATTAGACTAATAATTATAACTGTCTTGAACTCATCTGCTGTGATCTGTGTCAGTGGAAAGCACATCGCACTTCCAAACTGCTGGTTTGCATCAGAGTTGATCTGTTATTTAAATAAATCCATATTTGAATAAAATGAGCTTGGTTTCTTTCACTTCTTTACATCTTGTAACTGAGATGACATTTATAATTTTTCATATGAAGCAGAAGATTCTTGATCTGTGCTAATGCCTTGAAATGAAGAGACACAAGTGTTTTCAATCACAACATGACAGAAGCTGACCAAACTGGCAGTTTGTGTTTTCCCACACAA